AAAGAAGATGTACAGTGCAATCATGTTTTCTTTCTTTTTTTCATTAATCATCATGTTGCTTGCATGGGTCAACCCAATGTTGTTTGGTTTTCTTTTTTTTTCTGAAGTTTTCACTAAGTAATTAAGTATTTCCTGGTCAAGGTCAGCCTGAGGTAGGAAGAACTATATGTTCTTAGCTGTGGGAGCTCTTCCTGACAGAAAAATGTGGGTTTAATTTTGAACATGGAGTTGATATTAGGCTTGGGGCTGATTAACCAGCAGGAAAGAGAGAATGGGGAGAGATTAAATGCTATCTCTCTCCCTCTGCTCCCTTTCCCCTGCTCCTGTATCACTCGCTGCCCTGCTTTGTCCTGGCCGAGAGCAGGGGTGTGAAACCTTCTCATTAACATTGGGGCTGCATCCAGCCCCGTAGCAGAGACCTTTCCTCTTTAAAAAAACAACAGGGGAGCAAGGAGATTTTTCAGCGCTTTCTTAACTTGCCGCCAGGGCCCACCAGTGCAGGCAGGTGGGCATGGGTACTGTGAGCCAAATGAAGGACTGGGCTGCAGATACAGGAGCTTCTGAGCTGTAACAGTCCTGTGCATAATGCTTTTATACTTGTAAAGGAGCAGCTGTGACCGACTTCTGAGTCAGAAGGACAATAAAGGAATAGGTAATCAAAGTCCATCTGCATCAAAGGGATACCTTCAGATTCAGAGGATTAGTCACAGAGCTCACTGTGTAAGGCATGGCACCGTTACTACAAATTCCCCAGATCCCAGAGCGGTAGGTCCTACGTCTCATTTATTACCCTGCCACGTGTTCCATTCGTGGGGTTTTTTTTCCCCTCTCCAAAACCTGAAGATCTCTCACAGCTTCTGTTCTCACAGCTTCTGAACCCCCATAAGGCCATGCTCACAAATACCACTTCCTCCCCGAGAGGAGGAACTTGCTATCACACCTGCCCCTGCACAAAGCAGGCATCTGCTGGCGGGTTCACAGGTTCTCAGCTGCTGGACGGCCTCCAGCAACCAAGACATCCCGCCATCCTTCCTCCCCTCTCTTCCGTACACACCTGCTAACCCATTCCCTAATACCACATTCTCCAGTAAATACTAACGTGCATTTCTATTTCTCTCAGACAAATTCACACCCCGGCCCTGCTTACAGGCATGTACGCGTGTTATTTTTAGGTAGGTGCAATCTCATGCTGCTTGTGCTATGACTGGACCAGTGGCTGCAGAGCATCTAGTGAGCCCCAAGGAGGAGAGGACATCACGTGTGCAGCTTGGGCATGCAACCGTACATTGCAGCTGGGCAGGGCCTGCTTAGCTACAGGAGACTGACTTTGGAAAATGGGGGATATTATGGTATCCAAACAGAAATCTGTTAGAGGGGCCCTCTATCAGAGCTGACAAACACCTGATAGAGATGTTCATTGATGATTATTCATCATTTCTGCTTCTAAGTACCTGGTGGAGCTCAGTGCAGGCATAGATCTCCTTCCAGACACAATCCGCTGTCTGGGGGCATGAGCAGAAGCGGCAGAACTTGACCACCCAGGATGTGGTTTGAACACTGCTGCTGCGTGTTCCTGGAGGCCCTCCATCACCCTCTCTATGTCCAAGACCTTGTTTCAAACCACAGCAAATACAGACAAAAGATTCACAAGGCAAATGAGTCAGCATGCCAGCCCCCATCGCGCAGTGAGTCAGCACCAATTTAGAGCATCTAGTGAGGGAGCATCTGCAACATCGCTCCTTACTGCTTCTCCTTTATTTGGGAAAGTTGTCTGCTGCCCCCTCTCCAAGGTGAAAATGTAGAAATGGATTTGCCTGTCACAGCACACAGAGGTAATGACCGGATAAGTAAGAATACAAAAGCACTTTTTTCCTAACTGATATTTATGGAGGAGGGGGACTACCGGGTAATCCCTCTCTCCTTTCCTGTTACCCCTCACCCTTAAGGAGGTGTACGTGTTTCTTGACCAAAACCAAACATCGTATTTGGTGAGCAAACCACTATGGAAAGAACAAGGCAAATGATCTTTTTTTTCATTGTCTCAGTGAGCTGTAAGGCTGTTTTTACTTTTGTTAGTGGTGATGATAGCTTTTGCCCAAGCTTTCCAGAAAAATTACACGGTGTGGCAAGATTTGAAAGAACGGTTTCTTTGTGAAGTATCTGGCATGGGGAAAAGGTCTGAAAACAGGGATCATAAAAGAAAGCTTATTTCAGTCCTAAATTTAAAAAAAAAAAAAAAAAGTAAATAGCTAATCTTTCAAAGAGTATAATCAAAATCAAATCTATTCAATTATTTAAAATATTGTAAAGCCAACTTCAGCTGAAAAGCCTACACATCCACTTTCTGTTTTCTACAACTTAAAGAGTTCTTTCTTAAATGCTTAGTGAGACCCATGAAAGTAAATAATGAATGTTAAATGGGAACCAGGGAGACTAAATATATACAGAGTACTGCCAAAAAAAAAAAAAAAAACAAAAAACAAAAAAACAAAAAAACCCAAAAAAACCAAACAGGTTAAACAAAATTAGTAATAGTACAAAATTATTAAAAACCACATCTAATCTTGCAGTATTTTTTTAATTGCCACTTGTACCAAAAGTATAATTTGAAGAACATGGTCATGCTTTAGCAATCATTATCAGTAAAATTCTGTTGATATGAATTCTAGCAGAGCATTGACAGGAATTCTAAGGAGATTAAAACCAGGATTTTTATAGGATTCATCTTTATCATCTGTTTTGAACAAAGATGCTGAAAAGTCAAAATAAATGGAACCTTGCTTAACACAGGAGGGGAAAAAAATTCTTAAAATTGGGGGGGAGGGGGGGGAGTGGCAGGGGAGCAAGCACCCTTTAATAAAAATGTAAACAAAATTTCAAACCCTATGGAAATGTTTTTTCCATTCATTTTCCCAAACATTTCCTTCGTTCACTTTCTCACTAGTTGGGAGGCAACAACTTCTGACCCATTACTGCTTCTCTACTAAACACCATTACCATCCAGCATTCCACTGCCAAGCATCTTTGTTCCCTTGGAGTTATATTTATTATCAGGTTTGTTAAACACTGAAACAAAATCAGAAGTCAGGCAGTGGGAAGAGGCTTGGGGAAGGTGAGCAGGGTGGGAAGCCAGGAGCCTCCATTTTCCCTTTCCCAAGCTACAGGGCAGTTTGCTCCAGCACAGCCTTATCCTCCACTTTCAGCCCAACACAAGTTGCTTACTAAGGTTCCCTGATGCTTTTTCACTGAGGTCAGGTTCAGGTGCCAGCAAAGCAAGTAGAGCTCTCTTCCAAAAATTAGTAGCCATGTCCTTGCTTTTAGAGACTTGAGCAGGGTTTATTAATCCATTTTTTAAAAAATCTGTGAAAGAATGATTGTCCAGACACAGCCCTGTAGATACTCACCTAGTGACTGAACAAGCCCATGTGGAAATGGAGGGGGAGGTCTGATTCCCTACTCCACATCTCCCACAGGAATGAATGAACTACATGGCCAATGAAAAATTCTGCCCAACAACTATGTGGCATTAAGTGGTCACTGCATGTACTATAGAAACATCCCCTTTGAGAGAGGACCAAAATACCTATCTTCACTCACCCTGCGAGGCTATAGTCAGGCTTTCTTCCCTGGGCTTGCTCTGGTCCACCTCCACACAGCCTCAGTACAATATCAACTATACTTAAGCTATGCCTGACAGATAGGTTTCCAAGTTGCCCTTAAAAATCCCTTAAAATTGCCCTTAAAACTCCAGTGATGGAGTTTGTCTCATTTCCATAGGCAGTCTCTTCTAGGGCTCAACTAACCCTCATAACTACAAGGTGATAGCCAACACTGGATAGACGTGGCTCGCTAAACCATAAGAAATCATAGGATCATAAAATCATAGAATCATAGAAACATTTAGGTTAGAAAAGACTTTTAAGATCATGGAGTCCACCCGTAAACCAAACACTGCCAAGTCCACCACTAAACCATGTTCCTAAGCACCACATCTACATGTCTTTTAAATACCTCCAGGAATGGTGACTCCACAGCTTCCCTGGGCAGCCTGTTCCAATGCTTGACAACCCTTTCGGTGAAGAAATTTTTCCTAATATCCAATCTAAGCCTCCCCAGCACAACTTGAGGCTGTTTCCTCTCGTCCTATCACCTGTTACTTGGGAAAAGAGACTGACACCCACCAACCAATCTACTTTGCATAGCTGTAGAGAGCAACAAGGTCTCCTCTCAGCCTCCTTTTCTCCAGACTAAACAACCCCAGGTCCCTCAGCTGCTTCTCATAAGGCCTGTGATAATAAAAAATCCAGACCCTTCACCAGCTTCGTTGCCCTTCTCTGGACCTGCTCCAGCACCTCAATGTCCTTCTTGTGGTGAGGGGCCCAAAACTGAACACAGTATTCAAGGTGTGGCCTCACCAGTGCTGAGTACAGGGGCACAATCACTTCCCTAGTCCTGCTGGCCACACTATTGCTGATGCAGGCCAGGATGCTGTTGGCTTTCTTGTCCACCTGGGCACACTGCTGGCTCATATTCAGGTGGCTGTTGACCAACACCCCCAGGTCCTTTTCCACCAGACAGCTTTCCAGCCACCCTTCCCAAAGCCTGTAGTGTTGCAGGGGGTTGCTGTGACCCAAGTGCAGGACCCAAGTGCAGTTCTCCTCACTCTCTGAGAGGCAGAGAACTCCTGCTATACCAGCTTTACAGATGAGGTTACCAGATCCGCTAAAATTTCACTGGAAAAATGTGGTCAGACCCCCGTACACCTGACCAGCCTGTGACACCCTGCTGTCTGTCCATGCACCTGCAGCGGGTGTGGGTGTGAAAGAGCAGAGCTTACTGACCATCTGCAAGTCAGTGCTGCAGGGTACATTCAGTGAATATTACTCTTCACAGATGACCTCCCTTTGCAAGACAATGAGAGGTGTTGGGGGTGCCTCATGCTCGTTGTGGATGCAAGGCAGGCCTGATCTGTGAATGCACTGTTGCCATTTTTCCAGAGAAGCTGGATGGCAGGCAGCCTAGACAGAGCTGTCCTGCAGGACATTCTCAAAATGGCCCAAAATGGCAGTATATCACCAGAATCAAGAGAACCTGTGAAGCTGAAACCAAAATAAAGAGACACTCTGTAATTTCTCCTTGTGGCACAAGCAGTCTGTACACTGTGCCCTACCAAGTTTAAGACTTGTACCTCACTATTGGAGCATCTTTCCTTGTATTTTGACCACAGGTCTGAACCTTGGTCACATTAAAAGAAAGGTATTCTGAGCAGTCCCTTTGACACAAATTCCAGGGCTGATTCTGACCTGACTTAAGAGAACATCAGAACTTTTGAATATTTATGCAAGTGTTCAAGCTGCCTTTTGAAACCACTGAACTGAGAAAGGTGGAAAAAAAATCTCTGTGGCACCTTAGTAATGGGTCTTTAATGAATTCAGGCATATACATGATACATAAACCTGAGGCAACCTTTCTCTAGACATTTCAATTTCCCTGGAAGTGTCCAATAAATAAATTAAAATAACTTTATAAAAAATAAAATTGTTTTACTTTACATTACCTCTACAAATTTGGAATGAAGGTCCATCAACTTATCCACTTTTTTCCATTGTTTCAGTTTTACCAAAAGCTTTTGCTGCCAGGGATCTACTTTAGGCTTAATCTGTTTGACATAAAAGTAACCACAAAACTTATGAATATCAATAAATGTTTTTGGTATAGGAGGCAATATTTAGTTAAGGAAAGTGCAATACATTAACTTTTTATTTTCAACAGACATATAAAGGGGCTTTTGACTATACAGAAATATAGTGGTTTGATAAGGCCTGAATTATTAAAAAATCATCACTCTATTTATTAAAAGCAACATTTTAGAAATTAATTGCTGAAATGTATCTTGGTACATCCTGAAGACTGGATAGGACTAACACAACTGAAGAAGGAAAGTTGATCATAATTACCTTCAAAAAAGGGACCCAGTTGGCTCTCTTTTTCAAAGCCCTGGCTGGATCTAACATGCCCCGGTTCTCTGACTGAGAAACCTCTGCGTCATAAACCAGAAATATTCTCATTGTCTGCTGTTTGCAGAAGACGCTTCTAAATTTTTGTACAACCTAGAGCATAAAAGGAGATGGTATTGTTGCAAATTTCCCCAGACGGATATTAAATCTTATAGCAAAGTAATACTGCATATTATCAGTCAAAAAAAAAAAAAATAGAGTGATAAAATAACGAAGGAGACATTCTGGTCCTGTGGTTGCTTTCCAGCAGACACAATGAAACTCCTGGCTGTTAACTCTGGAGCCTCCAAAAAGAAGACCAGGATTTTCAAAAACACTGTCTTTCAGTCAAAGTTAATGTCAAATTTATTATCACTGGCTTTGGTAGGAATAGCATTAGCCTAAAAGATGCTCTGTGATAACCCTGTTCAGAAACGAATGAGCCACTGCCAGTTTACAATGAAGGTAACATACATCATTGCCTAGTCGGGTAAACACGTCTGCCTGTGCTTATCTCGGATAGTTCAGCCAGTTCGGCTGGACTAGTCAAATGTTAATTTGATGAAAGACTTACAGACCAGCTTATGCAACCAAACCTTTGTCCTTTCCAGCTGCACCACCTGTTCTTATACAAGGCGCGATTTGTAAGGCAAGCCATGTATTTAAAAGCACTATATTACTGCTGTTTAACAGTCATGCCTCTCTTTTGGACCCTGGACACGCACAGTGGAGATTTTTGGCTGGTTTGGCCTTTTGGATGACAGAAAAGATGAAACAGTTTTCCTACTGGTAACCCCCAAGCTGGGGAGGCTCGGCGAGGTCCTGTGCAATGGTGTGTCACAGCCGACCTCTAATGGAAGCACCACAGCTCGGGGAGACACCAAACAAGGGCAGGAAAACTGGAGAAAAACGCACATAAAAAGCACGAGTGAGAGCTGGGAGAACAAAGGTACGGACTCAGGGCCGTGATGCTGAAAATACAAACATCAGCAGCTACTATAGCTCAGTAGGAGCAAGCTGGGCTTTTCTGCTGCTTCCTCTGGAGACCAAAAATGCCCAGAGTCTTAGTTTTCTGTGATGCAGAACACTGACTTGTAATTAATGAAACTGCCTTCCATAGAGTTTATTTTATTTTATTTTTTTTAGTATTGAGAACTACATTTTGGTTACCAGGGAAAAGAGCTCCATCTCATAAGCTGAGTTCTTGAGATCCTTAAGGTTGTACTCAACACCAAAGTGAGAAAGCAGAAGCTGGAGCTGAGGTTTCAGCTCCTCGGTTTCAACGCTGTGCTGGGGCAAAGTGAACCCAGTGTCCTTCTGGCAGGATTCTGCAAAAAGCCATTATCAGACCAGCTGGAGAACATCAACACTTTAAGCAACATGACTGTAAGATGACTGTAAGCAGTGCTGCCAGTGCCCTGTGCTTTGCATCCATGCAATGATGTAATGAACTTTTCTTCGTCCTGAAGCAGAAGTATATCAGAGAATGGAATGTGATGGCACCCATGTTGTATGGATTTTTATTGTGTTCATTTCTCTTTTAAGAAAGGGCCTTCCACCAGACCCTGAAAGACTAACAGTTGTTGCAGGTCGGGGCACCTCCATGGTCCTTCGCGGAGTGCCTATCTTCTAGCATGTAAAGGACACCAGCTAACAAATCCTACTGCCTGAACAGAGTCCTGGCTCAGGGGTGCACAACATTCTTCTCACACACACACCTCCCAAATCTTCACATGCTACACGAACTTCAAGTATGTTACTAATTCAGGGTTATCACTCAGCCAGTATCTGATTCTGGCATGATGCTGCTATCACAAACTTCTGAAACAAGGGTGTACTGGGAATGGCTGAGTTTGGTCTGGTATCAGTGTTGAAGAGTCTGTTGACAACATAGCACCCATTTTTAGAAAAACTGAAATGTTTTCTCCTCCTTCTTTACCTCATTTTCAGGCTTGCTCAAGGCTTTTAAGAATATTGATATTCTTTCATCCTTGAACCATAACTAGTGTTCTTGCAAGTTTCATCATCTTTTCTCCCCTTTTTTCAGCTCTTTGACAGGTATATTTAACACTGGGGGTTGGTTTATTTGTTTGTTTGGTTGGTTTTCGTCTTAGGTCAAGTCATAACAAACAGCAGCACTTTTTCTGATACTACTTTTCCAAAGATTTTTGAAAGTCCAAATAAGTGTCAACTGATTCTCCTTTACCCAGTACCGGTGGGTACTGCTGATACACACAAAGATCCTAATAGGTAAGCTACAGTTTATAAAGTTCAGCAAGACCCTTGAGGTTTAGTGGAAAAACATGTAATCTAATCTATTATCTCATTGTTTCAGCAATAGAGGGCCATCTGCATTTCTATTCCATGCTTTACTTCAGCTTTGTTTTAATGTTTTGTTTAATCATTCTGTTGTTTCATCTATGAAGCTCAGATCTAGATAGCAGATGAATGAAGCATATGATGCTAATATGATACTGTTCCTCAAATATTAGATAACTAGATACTGAAGATCAAAATGAGCTAGAGCACTTCTGAGTTGCCTTTTAATACCAATAAGGGTCTAGTCCATGGCAAGATGAATGGCTCAGGTGAACTCTGTAACATGGTAGGTCTTGCACCCTTCTCTGTACATTATTAGCCCAGCAGATCCGAGATCATGGATCATCCCTCCCTCTCCTTTCCTACTCACATAAGAGAAACATGGCCTGTTCAAGGGGCTTAATTTGGAGAGAAGAGCTTAACCCTCCTCTCCCTGCGCCTTCCCACTGGCAGTGCTGCACTCCAGGGGCAGCGTGGCCCTGTCTCCCTGCAATGGGACACCTGTGGGCCTAAGGAGTGGAAGAGGGCTGCACCAGCACAGCCAGTTAGACCAGTCAGAGCTTAGTTAGACCACTAACCAGGGGCTAAAGGCCCCTCATCTGTCCCAGGTAAATCTGCACGTTCCTTAGCACTGTTCTCAGTCAGTTGTCACTGGTAGGGCAGTGCCGCTCTGGGCCAGGGCTGTGCCCTGCTCCCCTGTGCAGACCCACAGGTACTTCCCTTGTGCTAGAGAGGTCTTCTGTGGAGAAAGGAGAGTCAGTCACAACCCCTTTTCATTCCTTCACCCTGGCCAGCCCACTTCCTGACTGCAAAGAGAAGGCATATGCCTTGCGTTGTCCCCAGGACAGAAGGGTTGTGCTTTTCCAGAGGCAATCCCGTGAGCTCCTACAGTTCCACACCATTCCCCCTCTATCTGTAAAAGCATGGGTTAAATCATAGGAATTCATGCGTTAAATCATAGGAACTAACCACTTTGCAACAGGAATGCTGCCTTACGTTCCAAGTGCCCTTCACACAGGTAACTCTACATAAGTAAAATCACTCCCTCCCTTCCTTCAAAAGGAAAGAGAACTTGAAAATTGCCACAAGATTTTTAGAGATACTTCAGTTTAAGTCTTAAAACATTAGCTCTCTTCTCTTAGTGTCTCCAGAAACAGGCCACCCACAGAAATATCTTAAATAATATTTTTCTGGAAAGTTGGAAGGATGAGTTTCAGGGTTTGGCATGATCGAGGCAACATCCTGCATTCTCCACTGAGTTAATCCCACAAGTATCCTTGTGAACCGCCTTTTTCTGTAGCCAGGGCACAGTAAGGTCACAGGAGTGACTACTGCAGATTCAGGGCTCCACACTCTGGAATTTGGACACTAGATTTCCAGGATTCTTGCTGATAGGACATGGACCTGGTGGAGCAGGTCTGGAGGAGGGCCACAAAAATGATCAAAGGCCTGGAACACCTCTCCTATGAGGACAGGCTGAGAGAGTTGGGGTTGTTCGGCTTGGAGAAGAGAAGACCTGATTGCAGCCTTTCAGTACCTAAAGGGGGCTTATAAGAAAGATGGGGATAAACTTTTTAACAGGGCCTGTAGCAATAGGACAAGGGGTAATGGTTTTAAACTAAAAGAGGAGAGGTTTAGACTAGATATAAGGAAGAAATATTTTACACTTAGGGTGGTGAAACACTGGAACAGGCTGCCCAGGGAGGTGGTAGATGCCCCATCCCTGGAAACATTCAAGGTCAGGTTGGATGGGGCTCTGGGCAACGTGATGTAGTGGAAGATGTTCCTGCTTACTGCAGGGGTGTTGGACGAGATGACGTCCATTGTCCCTTCAACTCAAACTATTCTATGATTCTATGATTTTAAAAGCCACACTCCAAATTTCTCAAGCATACAAACCAAGGACAGCAACATCTGCACTGTTGACCTTTCTCAAAGAATATACGTTGACAAATGCATTATCTGTAGGACTTCTGGTTTTAAATGAAAGCTGATCATTTCTCACCATTTCCTCTTAAAACTCTTGAACACACACCAATATTTAAAATATCTGAATTCTTGTCAAAAGCACTTCTTAATTTGTCCCAGTTGTCTTGGACCACATTAGGACATTTCTCATAATCCACATTTATTCTATGAGAAATAGGCAAATGCTGGAGAACCTGGAGATAAAAACATACCTGTTGTTATTCTCAGTCACTTAGAAAGCACACAGATTCTTCAGTTGCAAATTTAGCAATACAAGAAAACACAAAAAATATTTAGTAATAAAACACAAAAGAGAAGAAACCAAACCATAGTTATCCATTGTGTATAATTACAGAAGTGTATTCACTGTCAGTGAATTGTAGCACTCATATAATAAAATCATTAAAGAAATGAGATAAAATAAAGAAGTATTCAGATCTGTTTTTGAAAGGTGACACTTAAACAAATACTCCTCAGGTCTACAGACTATTATTCATTGAGATGACTCAGCACCTTGACAGTGTCCTACTCTATCAAAACATAATCACAGTAATAATACAGAAAAAAGTCTTTCCAAGCTTTCTCCTTCTCCTTGTATGTCCTCAAATCCAAGCAGCCCAACACGATCTACACTGCACCCAGGGAGCTCATTATTCCTCTTACCTAAGTCCAGCTTTATCATTGTAGTATTTCCTTCCTAGTAAAACCAATCTGCTAAAAGAACTGAAAGTCATATGTACACAGTCTAGCTGTACCTAGAAACCTCTAGATTTCTTTTACATTGAATTTGATCTTCCTTGGTTTACTTTCTTATCCAAGACTTGAATGTTTCATAATTATACTTCACTGTTCAAAAAATGCTTATCTTACCTGGCGAAAATGGTGAATGCTCTTCAGAGAGTGTAGGTGACACACTAACCACTGGGTGTAAATAATCAGATCTTCCAGTGTCACTACATTCACTGGATTTTTCTTTCCTGTCAGGAAACTTTCCCTTGCTGCTGAAAGTCTTGCAGCCCCCTGAACTGCATGATTGTATTCCTCCATGATGTGACTAATTCGCTTCTGTTTATGTATGTAAAACAGACACTGTCATTTTTGCATTTCTGCATCATCTTCTCTTATTAGGAAGAAAGCCATTGCATTTCCACTGCATGAGTAATCTCAAAGGTTTATTTCCTTCCTAAATGCTTACAAATGGTATTTCTAACCCAACGAGGAAAAGGGAATTTCTCTCCAAATAGCCAATCTCTCTGAGCAGCTAACACTGACCATAAGCAGATAGCTGAGAGCTTGTGTCCAGAGACAAATTCCAGAGATAAATTACCCCTAATGTTAATAGCTTTTTCTCTGGGTGGAAAAAAGCCATTGCTAGCACTTTGTTTTTCATTAACTGATAGATATATATGTGCTACATCGCAGGTTTTAGCTCCTACCTGATAGAGAGGATAAAGCTGTTCAATAACACTGCTGTGCGTACAAAATCTCTTCCACCTAAGCATGTGCAAATATTTACTCTGGACTAGCTGAGTAATTCTGTCTGTAAAAAACTTGAATAAAATCAGAAATAACCAGCAAATCATACATTTGTAAACAACAGCAGCTTAACATTATAGTAAACTTAAGCAGTATATAGATCATCATTAGCATCAGAGAATGACACCAAAACAACAGCTAATCAGTCACCAGACCACTGTGCTGTTATGTTTATCCATGAAGGGTGCTCCCCCTAAGTTGTCCCAGTGGAAGTATTATTGTGGGAACGAAAAAAAGCAGTTAACACAAGGAAAATGGCAGAATCCAGTCCACTGGACCTAGAAATTTGAACTCCACTTTAAAAATGAAAATAAATTTGTAATAAATGTAATAGAACAGCACAAAAGCATCAGTGAACATGGAGAATGTTGTCCCAGCCCATCTGACCTGGCTTAGATTCCTGTTCTTTAAAGAACCAGAAGCAGAGGACAAGGAAACTGCAAACACTAACGGTTTCGTGCCTGTGTTCAGGAAGGAGTTTCATCCCGGTTTTATTTTCAAATGT